TCCCAGGAAACTTTATTAAGTTCAATTGAAGGCCATTTTATTGTAAATGGTAAGTTTTTTCATTGCATTCGTTTTTTTTTTTTTTTTGTGAGTTTCAAATAACCTAACCATCATATTTTGGTGATGTTAATCATTATATAAAAAAAAATAGATGTCATATCGGGTGTTAGTCCAAGAATAACATCACAATCACCGATCAAAACACAATTAGGTCATAGTGCACAATTATTATGTGTAACAAAATCATGGCCACAAGCAACTGTCAGGTAAGTTTAACCATTTACACATATGTTAGGATAATGTTTTGATGTGATGTTTTGTTTTGTTGTTGGTGATGGTGATGGTGAGAATAGATGGTTTCAAGCATCTGAATCCGGTTTAATTACACCGATTCGACCGTCCACAAATGTACAAATCTATGATAGTTTTGTTGATATTCGTCACGTAACCGAACAACATTCGGGTAATTGGATTTGTGTAGCGAATAATTCATTGGGTGAAGAACGATCATATATCGAATTATACGTGACACGTCCAATTCAAGTAAACATGTCACCCGATTATTTAGTTGCCGATATGACTTCAACGGCTACGTTTGTTTGTAATGTTAGTCAAGGCCAACCAATATCGATACTATGGGTTAAAGATGGTCAACCAATTATGATGGCTGGTTCTATTGGTTCTGTTGCCAATCAAGCCAGTAACAATCTTGGATATGTTACCAACGGTGGTGGTGAAGGTCGTATTCGATTGATCGAACCACATGTACTTAATATTCGTTCGGTTGTCCGTGAAGATGCTGGCTGTTATCAATGTATTGTCCAGGCAGATGATCATAGTATACAGGCTATTGGTGAGCTTAAATTGGGCGATAGTCCTCCGGTGTTTGTCGAAACATTTGCCGAAGGTTTAGTGTTCGAACAAGGCAATCAAATATCGTTGAAATGTTCGGCTAGTTCTACATTGCTACCTCAAATTCGATGGTTTCTGGATGGACAATCTATTGATGGCTATGCACCACGGCGATTGACAATGGGTGATTTTGTTAAATCAAGTGGTCATGTAGTCAGTTTTGTTAACATAACCAATGCCAAAGTGATTGATGGTGGCCAATATCAATGTATGGCAAGTAATAGTGCTGGCACCATAAACTATTCGGCTAGAATCAATGTTATTGGACCTGCTTCATTGCGAGCTAACTGGCTTTCAACGGCGTCGGCATCGGCAACGGGCAGCAACTCATCTCCAACAAAGACATCATCATCATTATCCGACTACACGATTACGGTAATTTCAGGCCGTTCAGTTACTTTAATATGTCCAGTAATCGCTTATCCAATCGAATCATTGATTTGGCAACATCGATCGGCTATATTGCCAAGTAATCATCGTCATCAAATCGAAGCCATTATCGGCGGCATGGGTGGCAAATTGACCATTCAAAATGTTCATCGAGACAATGATCAAGGAGACTATGAATGTATTGTTAAGGCAAGTAGTGTTTTGTTGTTTTTTGTTTGTTGTTTGCTTTATCTCCTGTATATGGTACTAATGAGATTCAGAACGATTCTAGTGTAAAATTGATGAGAATACCATTAGCCTATTGGTACTTATTGCATCACACTATCATCATCATCATCATAATCAATAATAATTGATCCATGCGAGATCGAGTGTTTAAACATCTATACATCAAAACTTGTCCATTTAGTCAATGAGATGGACATGTTAATGATGATGATGATGATAATGATGATCCAAACGTTGTCAGTTTGATTTTTATTTTTGCGAGTTTGAAGAATATGTTAAGAATATTAAGGCCAAGTCTGATTTATTGATTTTTATTATTTGTGTCTTGTCTTAGTTTGATGCATGTTTTTCTTTCTCTTTTTCCATATTTATCGATTTCTAATCTTTTTTTGCTACCAGGCAATCTAATTCTAAACACACTCTGTCGATACGATCAATGCAAAATAGTAGATATTTACATAGGATTTTTTTCTGTTGTTGTTGAAAAATCATTTCCATTTGTAGCCAAACATCTGGAACATTCTTCCAATTTTTTTTTTTAAAAGAAAATTTAAGACTCTTTCGTTCTCTCGCTCTCTTTGTCTTTGTTCAATCGATTCATAGCCTGATTGATTGAATGTCGATCATCAATATTGCTAATATGGATTATACCACCCACACACAATTCTCATTTCTTATTTTTCTCGTTTATCATATAGGGATCGGATGCTAAGCCGGTACGCGGTACTATTAGAATGGTTGTTCGTGTTGCTCCATTAATCGATTCACAATTGATATCGGCCACCACTATAGCCAATCAAGGAATGAAAGTAAAACTTATGTGTTCAGTATTGGAAGGTGATCCACCACTTCGTATTAAATGGTTTAGACATGAAAATGATGGCCATATTGAACAGAACAACAATGGTGTTCTTCAACCAGTCACCACTAATCATGCAATGGGTATATCCGTACAAGAAGATGAAGATTATTCATTGCTTACATTTCGTAGTGTTTCGATTCGTCATGTTGGTAATTGGACATGTCGGGCATGGAACGATGTTCAATCGGTAAATCGAACGACATATCTTATAGTGAATGTAGCGCCATCTTGGCTTACCGAACCAAAAAATAGTCAAGTAGTTTTGGGAAATAATATCATTATCGATTGTAATGCACAAGGAAATCCAAAACCTCGTGTTTTATGGAAAAAATCCACTGCCATATCCGGCAGTACAACTAACGGACTGGATGATTATAGTGGTGTTAATGATCAATCGATTGATCAATCATCATCATCAACGAAAAACGATATCGATCAACATCCATCCGAATACAGAGAACTGTTATCCACATATCGACGACAAGTCTATCCAAATGGAACACTTTTCATTCAGGAAGTGGACAAATCAGATGCAGGGTTCTATATGTGTCAGGTATCGAATGGTATCGGTGCCGGTCTTAGCAAAGTAATTCATTTGATCGTACAATCACCACCATATTTCGCAACAAAATTTCTAAGTAAATCTGTAAGCAAAGGTGAAACAGCTTTGTTAGAATGTCAAGTACAAGGTGATCCAGTTCTTCATATTCATTGGTATAAAGATCGAGCCTTAATTCATTCATCATCCAATATGGCAATCACCGAATCACCATCGCCACCACCACCAGCAACAATGAATGACAGTAATCATTTGACAACGATGATGCATACATTTCACGATACACGTTATACGATCAAACAGGATGTTATTTCTTCACAAAAAGTTATATCCTTTCTACAGATTATCAATGTTGATCGACAAGATTCGACTATTTATACTTGTATTGCTAGCAATGATTTTGGTACTGATAATACTTCGGTTCAACTTATCGTTCAAGGTTTGTTTCAATTTTACTTTTGATTTATTGATCGTTTATCGATTGTTGATTTTTTTCATCTGTACAGAGGTACCTGATGCACCGCCAGGTGTTGAAATAGTTGAAGTATCCAGTCGAAGCATACAACTACAATGGAAATCTCCATATTCCGGTAATTCACCATTGATTCGATTTCATGTTCAATATCGTCGAGTGAATTGCAGTTATATGAAACATGAACCGGAATCTTTTTGGAACGAAATGAGCACACATAGTGGAACCGAATTACGAATTACGGTCAAAGGATTAATGCCCAATTGTTATTACGAAGTTAAAGTCAGTTCTGAAAATCAGATCGGTCGATCTGAACAAAGCACAAATTCAATTGTAACGAAAACTTTGGAAGAAGTACCGGGTGGTCCACCGACCGATGTCCAAGTGGAAACAACATCTTCTACATCGCTTAAAATTAAATGGCGACCACCATTAAGAGCTGTACAATTTGGTCGTATTCGAGGCTATTACATTGGTTACAAAATTGTTGGTTCGGATGAACCATTTCAGTACAAAAATGTTGATGTTGTCAATGATGATCCTAATGCTTCAACAATCAGTGAACAATCGCAACAAGTTAGCTACATAACCAATCTGAAACGTAAAACCAGTTATGTAATCATTCTGCAAGCCTACAACAGTGTTGGTCCTGGACCTCGTTCTGATGAAATCAAAATATCAACTTTTGATTCGCAACCACCAACATCACCGTTGTTAGAAGTAGTCACTACCACCTATGATGGTATCCTAATCAAATGGGATTCCAGTTTTCAACAATCACATGGTCATACTGTAGACGACATTGAAGAAAAAGAATATGTTCTTTATTATCGCCAAGATGAACAGAAATCGGCTACCGAATGGCATCAGAAACGAATCTATGCAAAATCGAATCAATTTGTGTTGAACAAAGAAAATAGCCAAGGACGTATTCGTTGTGGTACAAAATATCATCTGTATATGACTGCTACGAATAGTTTGGGTACTGGAGAACCAAGTGAAACGGTGATAGCCCGAACCAAAGGAGATACGCCGATTGCGCCTAGTCGAGCCGAATTTATTGTTGCCAATTCGACGACTGCAATTTTATCGCTAAAATCATGGCAAGCTCGTGGTTGTATAATACAGGCATTTACCATACAATACAAACCAGTTCAACAAAAACAATGGATACCTTTGGTTGAATATTTGGAAAGTCGTGATTATTTCTATGTAAATCATTTGAGTCCAAATCGTGATTATCAACTATTGGTTAGTGCACATTCTGAACCTGGTGTTACAAGACAAGAATACACATTCCATACGCCAAACGATTCGGCTGTTGTCCGTCTACATAGTGGTGGTGGTAGTATTGGTTTGTCCGCATCGGCATCGCCAATGGATCCTTATACAATCGATTCGATGCACAGCGGTCATACAGCCAATATTCATTTTCGTAATTTTACTGTTCTGTTGCCCGTATTAATATCATTGATGGTATTGATTGTTATATTGGCCACTTTATTTGGTTGTCTACGACGACAACATGTTAATCATGTGGTCAATTCGGTTGATGGTCATGGATCAATACGACAAGATCTTTGTGCCGAACATTTGGCCCGTTATAATGGTAGTAAAGAAGGTGCAATCACTACCAACACTATGTTAGTAAACGGTAGACGTGATAGTCTTGAATGTTATCCAATGACCGAATTTCATCCACCTGCCAATGTAATGGCAACAACATCCTGTACCAATTCCTGTGATTCAAAATCAAATCTTTTGAATGGCAACATAAACAATGGAGATATGTTTGCCACTTCACCACGTCATGCTCGTATTGGACCATATATTAGCGAGAATGGAATGGCCAATTTTGCTACATTAAAATTGCTACAACAATCAAAAACAAATGGTTCTGCCATTATAGCCGAACAATCATATTATTCATCACCACAACGTAAAAGTTTGTTGGCAAATATTAATGGTGGCAACAATCATCTTCATCGATCCGATCATGAATATGCTGAACCATTACAAACAAGCGGTAACATAGTTCGTAATGGTCGTTGCAGTATGGCCGATTTATTACTGGTCGTAGACAGTAATACTACTGTCGATAATTCCAATTCATTAGGATTGGCTGATAATGATTCGCTTGCGCAACAACTACAACAACAACAACAACAACAACGACAACAACCATTGTCGATGCAAGTTCAGCTTGCTCAAACCGGATGTACTTCAACAAACAACGATCATCATCAGTCATCCTATTCAATTCTAAACAAAACGGCAAACACAAATCAAGAACATTTATGAATTATTATTGTTGTTGTTATCAATCTCCATACATCTTACCTGTGATATTCTTTCTTTTCCTTTTCGATAACAATCATTTTATTCCATTTTTTAATTGTGTTTTTTTTCGTTTTGTTTTGTTTTGTTTAATTTTAATCAATCAAATAAATCATTTTTCTTTTTATTTATCTCTTTCAACAATGTGTGTGTGTATTTGTGTTAATAGTTAGTTAGTTTGCATATGTACCATTGACAATATGTTGTTTAACAAATTGTATTTGACAATTATTATTTGAATCATACCAACATGGACTTTCATCCAATTCAAATAAAATTATTTCATTTGAATTTGGTGCACGATTAAAATATGGTACCGGTGCATATACAGTAATTTGTGGTCCAGCCACTGGCCAATATCTGCCCAGATTATGATTATTTAGGAAAGCTACACCTTTACTCCAACCATTTGTTTGTAGAAATGTATCCAATGGATATCCAGGTAATTTTGGTAATGTAAAATTTGCAATATAAATACTTGGGATTCGATAATAATTCGATTCAAATTGTAATGTCGTTTTTGATTGTAACAATTGTGTAACGGTATCGATAAATGAATGTTCATCAAACGGTAAATTATAAATAGTCCAATTGATCAGTAAATGTTTATGGTTGACGGTTACATTACCAATGATGCCTCTATGTTCGTTAATACAACCATACGAACATCGACCTTGATTTTCGACCAAAATACTTAATTCAGATCCATTATGAGCTAAAATCGAAAGATTAAAATATTTTTGTGTTCGAGAAAGAATGCCGGCAAATCTTTGATCAACAAAAACATGAGCTCGATCTCTAAGTCCCGGAACAGAAAGTATAGCCGGATTGGTTGGATGGAATGTCAGATTGGTTTGATATAGCAAAAAACCATAAGCCTGGTTGACTTGTTCGAATGTTAATGGATATTTGCTTAAAGTTTTATTTGCCAAAAATGGTAACAAATCGAAAATGGTTGCCACAAATGTCATATTGATAGGAGGTAATGACATTTTTTCACTCACAGCTTTTATATTTCTTTCATCGATCGAATCCGTCGGTAGATACTTGATTGTTGGAAAGGAAAAACATGAAAAAAACCTCAATCAATCGAAAAACAATGGAAAATGACAATATTACCTGTGCAATAAGATCACGAATAGCAAAATATTTTTCATTAAGATCACCTGCTTCATTAATTGGTGCATCATAATCATAGCTAGTCAATGTTGGTTGATAATTTTCATCACCACCATTACCGGAAGCTTTAAAATCAAAATTACTTCCACCATGATACATGTATCTATATAATTTAAAAAAAAAAATTACAAAGTTCATGTTTATTTGAATTTAAAAAAAATGTTAATTACATTTATAATAATTATCTTACATGTTTACCGATGCATTATTATCAAGTAATTCTTGTAATGTTTCAATAAATGGATTAACATTAACAAAATTAAAATTACTTTGCCAATAATCTAACCAACCACTATAATATTCTGAATTAATGAATGGACCAAATTCTTGATGTCTATATAATGTTTGTTTTGCTTTAGTTACATTCGTACCGGATCCAAAATCAATAGTAGTCAGTACATGTGGTATATGACCACAACGAAGATAACCATCACCATTACCATCGGTTGTAAATAATACTACTTTATGTCCCAAAATTTCACGAAATTTATCACGTAAATGAATGGTATAGTTTAGATCACAACCATAACTACCGTATTCATTTTCAACTTGCAACATAATTATTGGACCACCATTTTCATATAATAATGGTCGAATTTTAGGTAAAAGTATTTCAAGCCAACGATTTACTGGTCGTAAAAATCTTGGATCCGATGTTCGTAATGTAATATTTGGTTCACGTAATAGCCAAAATGGTAAACCACCTAAATCACGTTCAGCACAAATATATGGACCTACACGTAATATGACCAATAGATTTTCGGTCTGTGCTAATCGAATAAATTCAATAAGATTATTTTGTCCATCAAAATCATATTGACCAGGCATTGGTTCATGTGAACTCCATTCAACATATGTTTGTATTGCATTTAAACCACCGGAACGCATTTTTTTTAAACGATCTTGCCAATATTGTTTTGGAACACGAAAATAATGTATCGAACCGGATACATAACGAAATGGTTGGCCATCTTTAAGAAATCTATCATTCGGATAATCGACAATAAATGTTCGGGAATTGTTTTTGGTGGTGGTGGTGGTTTGACAGGTCACCGTCACCAACACAAACACAAAAATTGAAAAAAACAAAAACAAACGTCTAATCATCATCAATGGATGAGTTTGGCAATTGAAAAGAAAAAGAATGAAACAAACAAGCAAACTCCTTTATACGATCAATTATCATCATCATCATATGTTTCAAGTTTGATTACTAATCAAATCAAATCAATTGATTTGATTTGATTTTTTTGTTATACTCTCTTCTCTCGTGACATCATTAGTGATAATTTGGAAGGGAAAATACATGAAATATTTTGGTTTGGAATGCAAACACAAAAACTCCCATTTACGTTCATTAATTTGATAAAATTTTAGTTTATTGTCAAGTATTCATGTGATTATCATTGTTGTTGTTGTTGTTGTTGATGTGGCTGATGTGAAGCGGTTAATGCCTCATCAATGTAAATATTGTAATGATTTTGACAATATTTATGATAATCATTCCAAACGGTAATCGGTTGTTTAATAGCACATATAATCGATAAAACAGGTAATACTATTTTAACCTGAATGATCATTATGATACTCATATTATGTTTGATAGCATCACTGGTTAGATTAAAATCAATATCGGTAATATCATCAACAAAATCTTCCAATTCATCGGTAAACAATGTTTGCCATAGCGAATAAAGACAAACCTGAATTGAACATAATAAACTTATACAGGATAATAAACTATTACGAGCTGTTGATTCTTTCCACAGCCATTCGAAAAATGATTTTCTTGTATAACTATAACGTATTCCACGATATTGTCCCGAACATTGATCACAATGAATTCGATCATTCGATAACATATGTTCAGCAAGACAATTAACATGTACATAATTGGTAATCAGACAATCACATGGACGAATCAACGATGTATTTCGACCACGTTTATGACACAAACGACAATAACGATATTCATGTCGTGGTATTCTTTCTGGTTTTTGTTTTTGTTGTTGTTGCTGTTCGATCATCTTAAAAGTTATTTTCTTTTTCGAAATTAAAATCTAATTTATAATAATTTGGTTATTTTTTAAGATAAATCCAAAATCGTTTGGTATATGGGTAAAATTGCCAGTATTATTATTATTATTAGCATGATTCAAATTAATTAAGGAATTGTTGTTGACCCAAAAATTATATTAAACTGTACAATAATTGTAAATATTGAAATTGAAAGAAATGTAAAATTATCGAATTAGATGATTAGATGCATGACATGACAGCTTTGGTTACCGATTCCTGTGCATACGGTATATATGATATTGAATACCAGATATAAGCGAAAAATTGCAAACAACAAAAGATTATGGCCAATAATGATTTTTTCCACACCAAAGCAGCCAACAATGTAAGGACCATGAAAAAAATGACCAAAGCAGTTGATATGACTCGTTTTTCGCTAAACATCTTTTTCATTTGTCGCCAAGGTCCCATCAGGAACATAGTGCTAGCAATGCTACAGCCATTACCGATCGTATAGAACAGGGCGAACAATGCCAAACCACGAGGTAATGGTATAAGAGCGGTGCCGATTATCGACATTATGAAACCAAGTACAAAACAGATGATAAAACCTTTGATTCGGGTCGACCAATCCAACGAAGAGGAACTACCAATCGGTAGTTGAGCAAAGCCTTCGCTTTCATCATCGTTTGCATCATTGCCGTTCAATACACGCCGTAGTTTATCCATTTTGATAATATAATCGTTGATCGGGAAAAAAAATTTATGGATTAACTGTTGCGTTGAGTTGTCAACAAATGATCAATTATGATGATTGGTTTTAGCACGTTATCTATGAATGGTAACCTGATTTCAAATCGAATTTCTTAACAACGGATTGTTTTGTTTGTTGTTGTTTTGTTTTTGTTTTCGGTTCAAAGTTGGCCGTTGCTAATCGATGAAAGATTGATTGATTAAAGTCTATCATTGAAGATGGACTCAACACCATCATCATCATCATTCGTAAAGAAACGTTTGTCGGATATGGTGTACACTTGGATCACATATCGACAGAAAGGTGTACAGACTTTGATCATACAATCGTTGTCGATTTTATTGTCAGTGACAATATTGTTTCTTTTGTCACAGGTGTACTTGATTTTTTTACCATGTCTTAAAGCATTGTTATGGGCTTTGCTTTGTGGTTCGGCTCTGTATCCGTTCAAGATTCGATTGGCAAATTTATTGCGCGAATGGCTAGATCAACTTGATCGAACAAATCGATCATTATGTTTTGGATGTCTGATGTTACCGATGCAGTTGACCATAATGCTATACAATCGTTTTATCGATTTAATGTCCAATAATCTAGTTCTATTCATCGTGTTTCATTTTCGTTATCAAATTGTCATTCAAATACGACGATTGTTTTATCGATTATTACCCATGATACTTTCGATGCCGATGGCCAAAGATGGTCACTTTGCGGCAATTATTGTAGCCATAATAGTGATCACTATACATGCTGTGATTGCAATGTGCACTGCACCCGAACATCGTTCATTGTTACGATCAATGCCCACTGTTTTACTGATGACTTTTATCTATTTGCTTTATTATCATTTGGGCATTTTTGGTCAGCTCACATTATTGTTTATTGTGTGCATGTTCGTAATTGGTTTAATAACCACTGGTTACAACTTGTTTCATGGATCATCCGAACTACAATTCGATAGTTTAATCGAATTATTTCGCGATAATATTCGGACCAAAATCGAAAATTATGCCACTTGGATTCGTCATAAGTATCTACTATCCACTGACCATATTGATGGCAGCCATTTGAACTTAGGCCAGTTATTCATCAGACAATTGTTTATGATTTCGGCTTTCGTCGTAGCCGAACACATGAACGTATCGAGCCTGGTGTTGATTATTGTGCTTGTACATCTGATTCTTCAGCGGATGTTTGCTTTGCTTGTTAGCGATCAAATGTCCGCTCGCATTGAGCGATGGTTCGAATCAGTTACGGATGGGATCGCCAATAAATTCAGACATGATGTTTTCTTTCGGATGCTGGCACATTTCTTCACGCAAGGTGATCGCTTGATTAAAGTTGGCCTTGGCAATAGTTTAGATTTGTTGACTAGCATCGGTTTATTCATGATTGTTGGTTCGATGGTCACATTTTCGGCCGTATTCGTTTCGATCAAGGTATTTAATTTGATATTTGATGTTTATCTTACATAACTGATTTTTTTCATTTTTTTCGATTAGATTTACGGTGAATGCTACCAGACAATATATCTATTGCAAAATGAATTGAAAAACATTGAATTCATTCAGGAAATTATCAAACAGATAAGCGAACCACATTACATTGATAATCTGATCAACGATCGTCTAAATCTACAAGATGATGAAAAAATTTTTATCAACAAAATGTTGGCCGAAATTCGACACAACATTTTGCCCTGGTTGAATCCGAATAACAGCAGCAGTAGCACTGGCACCATTGAACATGAATCAATTTCAGCTGTCGAATCGTTAGGATGGCTATCATTAAATCAATGGCCCAAATTGTGGCGATTAGTTGATTACAAAAATTTCGGTGATCTAATCGAATTGGTTCGAACACAAGCTTCATCCTATCTCCCAATGGTCAAATCAATTATTTCGGTGTCCTATGCATTCATATTTGTCATACTGGATTCTAGTACGATGCTAATGAGTTTTGTTTTCAACTTTATTATTTTTCTGCTCGCTCTTTTCTATTTATTATCATCCAGTCAAAACAAATACAAACCAATCGAATTAATCGATCATATGGTGGCTAGTCTATTCATATCGAATCAAGAAGAAAATCGATTCAGTCATTATGTGGAACAAGTGGTGAATAGTATCTTTGCTGCCACTATCAAGATATCGGCATTTTATGGTGTTTACACTTGGCTCTTGCATTCCTTGTTTGCCTTACGAATCTGTTACATTCCGTCAGCGATTGCGGCTATTTTGGCAGCCGTTCCTTTGCTTAATGCTTATTGGGCTTCATTACCAGCTTGTATTTATCTGTACTTTTTTGAAGGAAATCTGGCCCTAGTCAAATCATTATCGATGTTTGGACTGGCAATGCTTCCATCATTCATGGTCGATTCATCGATCTATTCGGATATCGGAAAAGGTGGACATCCTTACCTGACCGGATTGGCAATCACTTGTGGTGTTTTATACTATGGCGTGGAAGGTGCCCTGTTTGGACCACTTTGGCTTTGTCTTTTGGTGATCATAGTGAACATGTGTACTGAAATGGACGGTAGAAATATGCTTAGTCCAAGTTGAATACATTATTTTGAGAATAATAATAAACGAATTAATTTATTTTAATAAATTCTATTTTATTTTTTTTAAATTTAATCAATGTTAACCTATCATCAAACGTTTGCGTCCACGCATTCGAACTTGATCTAGACGTTTGTTAATTTTGTCAGTTCCCATTTGAGTTTGATATTCGTTTAGAAAAATGTTCATATCGACATTTGGATGTGTACTTTGTACGGCTCGTTCCAACACGTACAGATCAACGGCACGATTTTCGTCCGTATTGGATGAATATGAAAGGCCAAAATCGATTGGAACTATTGTAATGGGTGGTTGTTGTTGTTTGATCACCATAAAATTGGATGTGGTAAGGTCACCATGTATCAATCCGGTCGAATGAATCTGAGCGATCAATTTGGCCAATGCAAGTAATGCTTGGCGAATTGAATCGGATTGTTGTTCAAGTTCGCATTCAGCTATAAACGTGTTGAGCGTACAAGCATTTTCAATCCGAGTGAGAATAATGTGACGATCATCGGAGAAAAGAATCGATGGCAATGCTTTCGATAATTCAGCTGCAGATTTAGTCGATAATTTAGTGTAGGCTTTGATCTCAGCTCGAATCCTTTCTTTGGTCAGCTTTTTGTCCAGTTCATCGAGTCGATATCGTTTGGGAAAACGTTCTTTAAGAATAGCTTGTTTCGATTGATAGTTACCTTCATAAACCCGGGACTCGGCTCCTTGAAACAATAATTTCCATTCGGCACCAACAAACGATTTCTGTAACGGACACATGGTTATCATACACACAAAAATGCTGACCAATTGTCAACACCAGATGGCGATATGGATAATTGTATTGTTTACGGGAAGTAAAATCCGAATGGATTTGAAACAAAATGACAAGGGAAATGTCATTTTTGTCAATTGTGATTAATAATTAATGATTTTTTTTTGACTTATTGTAAATTCATTACTGAAGAGTCAAGTTAAGCTGTCGTTTGTTTTTTTTAATAATTAATAATCATAATAATAATCATAATTGATTCATTTGGGTTATGATAACATTAAGGGGTGTGTGTGTGTGTATGATTTAATCAATCAATCAATCAATCGATTTTTTTTTTGGGTTTATGAAGTGGTTGATGATCATGTGAGAAAAATAGAAATTTGTATCTGTTATTCATTGTGTGTGTATGGTGTCATTGGGAATCAGTTGCTAATGGATAATGCTTTGAGAATAGCTTGTACTTCATCGGCAACGGCCAACAAAACAAATTCAAATTGTGTTTTGCTTTTTACCATGGCCATTCGTTGATCGCGAACATGTTCCAATGAAGCAGCTATATCAATCTCTTTGGCACCTTTGGCCAAACGATTCAGTACCATATCGATCAATATATAGGTACCGGTGCGACCTACACCATCCGAACAATGTACAACGATTGGACAGCTACGACCTTTGTACGATTTGTTTACTTTGCGACGAAACTCGAGCAATGATTTAATATTGCTTGGAACACAGTTTTCCGGCCAAGACAAATAATGAAACTGAGTAACTGTGCGCGTCTCTCCTGTTTTTAAATTTTTCAGATAAAAACTTCGTACAAGATAATCATCACACCAAATGTGTTCGGATACAAGATGTACTTCATAATTATCAAATAATTCGGATCCTTCTTCTGGCCAATATCGATCGCACATATTAAGACCATTTTCACGAAGACGTGTCAACATTACAATCAATACACTGCCTTGTTCCCATATCATCTGGTACACCAAGATACAAATGAATAATGTTTGATCATTTTAGTGTTTAATGGTTGTGAACTTACCTGCCAGAAATCAGCTTTGGTATTGGGCAATGGTCCTTGTGTAGCAATATATGCTGGATTACGAGGATCATGATCAGTCTGTCATAATTGGAATTTAAAAAAAAAGATCAAAAAAATAATGAAAGTTTCCCCGTAAAAAATAAATACTCATACAATAGTATTTGCATTGATGTAATCAGAATTGGTTCCGTTAGCCGAATCATCAAGAATGACACGTGAATGATCATACGGTAAAATAGTCGGGTAACGATTTTTGTTGGCATTCTTTTTCTGCAAAGCTGCAATCGTTGCACAAGGATCTGCTTCATATGCACATAAAGCTTCCCATTCATGTTCCAATCGAGATTTATTTTTCAGATGATCTTCCATGTATGACTGTTTAATGCAGAAAAGCAGAATAACTAACGTGTTTCTTTTAAACAAAAAATTGTCCATTTCTTACCAGAATGATATGTCCGGTTGTAATGTCCATGTTTGATGAGACAGGTTCTTCTATCCAGGATGATGTTGATGATCGACTTGCTGGACTTTCGTGGCCATCATGTCCTTGTTGTTGTTGTGATTGAGTAGCAGATTTTGTATCGACATTGCTCCCAACTTTGGACGGTTTACCTTGTTCTACATCAGATTTATTCTGAAATCGTTGACGACAAAGATCCTGATAATTAAAATTAATCCAATCTTCAGATATTTTCATTAATCCTTTAACACGTTCTCTAAATAATGTATCCCTTAACATATAGATGATATAGGCAAGTAATATCACCGATACTACTAACGAACAAACAAAAATAATAACCAATTTAATATGTTCATTATTCTGTTCAATAATTTTCGGCGAAAGAACCGGTAATTTAGTTTTGTCACCAATACCCGTTTCTTTTACTAAATATCCAGTCATTTCATGAATAAGTTTTGCCATGTCCTCTACACATTTGTGTTAATTCAGATTAGTTGTGTTTTTTTTTTGAATTGTTTTGCCACAAAATACATACCTATACGAGATGCTACTTGTGATGCATTCAAATCAAGATAATTTGGATTAACTTTAAACGTTATTTGATAATCTTCTTTTCTTAAATTAGAAAATGTTCCTCTTGGCAGATTGAATACTTGTTCAATAGTTTGTACAAAACGATCCGAATCTTCTTCACCAAGACTGTAGTTTGATAAAGTTAGTGAATATTTAGTTAGTTACTTAATGTATGATGCTTACATTTTGTCAGTGATAACATATGTATGTGTCGAATCGATTGCTTCCAAATTGGTACTTTCACCTTGTTCAGCTGTACGAATTATCAACATATCATGTGATTCAGTATCTAATTTTACTGGTCCTTCGGCTACAGGTTGATTGGATCGAACGCTAAAATCTTTTTTGGCTAAAATAAGATCAATTAGAGTTATTGAAGTTATTGTTGGTCATTGAGGAAAAATACATACTCAAATTGGTCTGTTGTGTTGGTATGATTGATTGTTGGGTGGTTGATTTAGATTTTTGTTGTTGTTGTTGTTGTTGTTGATCGCCATCACTTTGGAACCAATATTCTTCCACATAGATTGGCCCCGGTTTTTTAGTATCGTAACGATGATTACGATTAAAATTTGGCATCAAATAATTGTTACTATAGTTGATGTCACTTAATAATACTTCTTTTTCTTCTAAATCATCATCATCATCTACATCACTATTTTCATCATTATCGCTATCATCATTGTCATTGCTGGTGGGCAAACGTAATGGCAGAAGATGTTGGCTATCATAATGGTCTTCGTTTGAATCATCATCATTGTTTGAATTATCGAACATTTTTAAATTATCATCATTATCATCAAAATCGACGACAACAACATCATCATCGTTAAGTGGTAAAGTGCCGAACAATGCTGACAGATCAATATTATCATCATGATCATCGTTGCTAGTATCACGAGAAACACGAATTTCCGGTATACGTCGCATTGACGATGACCATGAATAATGACCACCAATGTTTGGTTGTTCATCTTGTTCGATGGTTGCAGCAACCGGATCATCACGATAAGAACTGTGATCATTCAAAAGCATTTGGTCATCATCATCATTATTCGAATCAGTATTGTCATGTGCCTGTGTTGTAAGGGTTACCATCAACATCAACATCATCATAAAATAAAGTGTTTTTTTTTGTAAATTCACTAAATTTACCTTTGCCTGTTGTTGGATAATTTGTTTAAGATAAGCGACTAATGGTTGATTATTTTCAGCGTCATAAGTTGAATCCGCATCATCTTCATAGTCGGGAAGTTGTTTGTGTTGGTTGTTGGTGTTTTGTTGATTGTTGTTGGCCAATAAACGTCTAGACAATTGAATCAATCGTTGTCTACTATCATGATCGGATTGGTCAATGGTTGGTTGAGGAGTTGAATTGATTGATTCTGTGTGTTGAATGATAACGGGCAGCAGATTCTTTTTGCTCAATGTTTGTATGTCTGATCGATGTTTTGATAATGGAGATTTAGATGGATTTACTTTGGTTGTTGCTGCTAATAAGACAGGTAATTCTAGAAACCAATTTTCATCATCTTTTGCTAATGGTTGATTAGTGGTGGACGAAGCCAAAGATGATGTTGACGGTAAATAAACATCGCATACGGTTGGATCATAAACAACACGAGGACGATCATTTAGAATAGTTTTCAATATACATTGAGTATATGGATCAGGCCAATCAAAATTTTGCGATGAAAGTCTTGTCAGTTCTTGTTCAAGTAGTTGAAACGTTTTTCTATCCAATTGATAGGTATAATCATTGTTGACTTTACCATTGATTGGATTATATTGTTCACAACGACCAAATGCATGATCATCGAAACAGGTTTCGTGAATCGAACATACAGTGTCACTGTAAAGACAACCGATTGTTTGATCACGATATGATTGTGAATTAATGATCGTCAACGATGATGATGATGATGGAGATTGTTTGGTTTGATAACATATTGTGGTCGTTACGATGACCAACAGAAACGGTATCTGTACGAATTTTCTTAACATATTGACATGATTGATAGACAGATTTGATTCAAGTTTCAAGTGTGAAAAGGATTTAGATGGATATTGTTGATGTTTAACATTTATAATGGTTGACTTTGTATGATCATTATTTTTTTTGGGTAAGGATTATTATGGCTGCCTGAATCCTAATTGGTGTGTGTGTGTGTGTGTATGTTAAGCAGCCAACAAGCAGCAACAATATGTCGGTCCTTTTTTTTAGCTAACTCAAAGAACAAGAAAGCAGAATCGATCAATGTTCACTTGCGTCTTATTTTTGTCATGACAACTGAGTCGAACCAAAACTGTGAGTAAATATTTAAATGGCAGGAGCCAAACTTAGGATTCCATCAAAAAAAAAAATTCATAGAATATAGTAAATTTAATGCCCACGCATTTAGCTAATGATGATGATTTGGAGAATATTCTATATATATTGGATTCAATTTATAGTTTAAATCATTATATAGAAATTGGATGAAAAGAATTAAAGAATTGTGTGTAGTTTTTATATAGTTTTTTGTAGTTTGGCATTCCACTTGCTGCACCGGAACCAAAAAAAAAAAAAAAAAAAAAAAGGGACTGACTCGTTTCTGAGAGGGGTTGACATTGGCGCTCA